AATAAAATAAAAATAAATCTTCACTTTCAAGACTTTAAGGATTTCATGGATTTTCTAAGTGATTATTCTGAAAAATAAAATGTAAACTGTTCTTTCTGTTTTTGATCAGTCTGACATTTGACACTCAGTTCTATTTTCAGCGTTGGAATATCTTTGTTAACCCTACAACAATGCTTCGGGCGACAACGTAGATAAGAAGAATTATTTTTATTTTTAATTCTATCAAAAACGACTTTGCTGGAGAAACCTATGAAAACATAAAAAAAAAAAAACTGGTCAAATAAACAAAAATAATCAGAAAAACTGGAAATAAGCATTTTTTTGAAAAAATGCTGAAAAAAGCAAAAAAAAAAGACACTTTCAAATTTCATAATTGTACATGTTATAACTTGATATACAGTTCTATAGAACTCTGCTACATTTTAAGTCAATCCATAAAAATAAGCAAATGCTTTAATTCCCGAGCCCTGTATATAACTATAATGATGATTTGTTTTTGAATTTGTTATAATTATTCTTGATGGGCCCTCTAGAGTCGTGGTCCGTGGCCCATTGCTCGTCATGCCACTTTATCGGTACGCAACTGATTTGCGTCCTGAGGGATGTGGACAAATGCGCCCGAAAGATAAGGTACAACCTGCCGATTTATAGCCCGTATGCGTCCATTTTGCATACAACGTTGCCATTGTGATTTATAATATAGATTATTTTTATCTTGATAAATACTTAAATTCAGTAGATTAGTATAATTATAATAAATATATAATATATAATTATATAAATTATAGTACTTAAATAATAATCGTCTAAATAATATAGTTTAAATTTTATAATTTTTTCAATATTTTGGGTTTAAAAAAATTACTCAATATGACAATAACTAACATTAAATCCAGGATTTCTAAGTTAAACAACACTTAAATAATTCACACCAAGTTTTATTTACTGTAGTCAAAACTATCTTTAATATCGATTAGTGTTGATTTTAAACAATTCGTTTTCACATACGTACTACAATTTTTTTTAACGCAACGCCAACTTATATTTCTTGAAATCAAATTTCTATTTAAGTGGAATTTAAAGTTACAAAAAATTAAACACTCACGATTTTTAGTAGTATTTATTTTATTAAAATCCATTTTTATACACCCGCAACTCACGTATAATACTCTAGTTAAAAATTTGTAGTTTGAGTAACGTTGCATTACGCATACATAGAAAGAAGTGAGAGTCGTCATGAAGTGTAATTAAAATAAAATGGACCAATATTCGATAATATCAATAAGAGCAGTGGCGCACCTAAGGGTGGGATGGGGGTTAAGGGGTTGTAACCCCCCTCCCCGAAATTTTCTCCTATGTCTAGGTTAAAATTTACAAATTTTACAAGTTTGAAATATGAAGAGCTAGTATTGAATACCTAATATCATTGATTATAGAATAGTCTATTCTATAATCAATGCTATTATTTAAGTCAAAATATATTAAGGATTTGCATAATTTTGTTAATTGTAAAATGTGTTATATTTTTACCTTGAACATGGGACCTTTCTTCTAAAAATGCATGAAATAAATAAAAATTATAACGCATTTGGGTTTTAAATGTTTATTATGTAATTTTGTATTACATTATGATTTTCAGTATATTTTTATATTCAGTCTTAGACATTTTTATTTATTTTTGAAACACACATTTTGTACTACAGATAGGATTTAATGTGTTAATCAAATTAAAAAGTACTATGCTTTAAGAGTGATTAAACACCTTTCAAATACAGAGCAAGAAAGAGCTTTAAATTAAAATCCCGAAGATATTATTGGTGATATTAATAACTCAACTGAACGCAAAATCGTTGTATTTATGATTAATTATAATTATTCATCAAATGTATTTTAATTTTTTGAAATATTTTTTTCGTAATTTATTTTAAGTTTTATTCATAAATTATGAAGCTAATTATAACAATTAATAAATGACTGTCTAGTTTCTTTTTTTTTTAGAAAAAATTAAAATTTTAATTTAAACAGTTAATTTAGACATTTGTGTAAATATTTTTATCAGCATTTTGAACACTTAAATTAACGGTCGGTGATGGCAGGGATAGGCAGTGGCAACCTTTTGCATACTCTGAAAAAGAGGTCTGCGCACGCCTATGATTTCAACGGGCTGTAACGCGATTGCGCCCGTCCTATCTTTTTACATGAAAAAAACACAACACGATTGCGCCCAGCTAATTAGCTTGATAGCGCTCCGTGAAATATAAGGTCTTGCATTTTTAACAATTTTCAAATATAGTATTTAAAAATACATTTGGAGTGTAAAACTCAAAGTTTAAATTAGGTTAAATTATCATTTTAACAATTTTCCCTCCCAATTTTACAGGCTTAGGACTGACAATTTTCTGTGCTACGTAGTTCTTGTCTAATTGTTTTATTCGGTCTCGTAAAGAAGTCGTTTTCACATTTTTTTTTTATTCTGCAATTTATTATTTGTTTACTATGTTTTCTGAAATTATGTGGTGATTGTGTTCATTGAGTACGCTAAGATCTTTTGTCACATCATTGTCAACATAAACACTCGATGGAAAATTGATAATCTAACCTAACTTAAACTTTGAGTTTTACACATTGACCGTATTTTTAAATAGTATATGTGAAAATTGTTAGAAAGGCAAGACTTTATATTTCACGGAGTGCTATTGAGCTACTTCACTGGGCGCAATCGAGTTGCGTTTTTTGCAGGTAAAAAGGTAAAACCGGGTGCTATCAGGCTAATTAGCTGGGCTCAATCATGTTTTATCGATTTCAACGACGTTACTACCGACCGCGATAATCAATAGGTGTACGTGTACGCGTATTGCTTATCCGCCGAAATAAAAACGCAAATGTTACTGTACATTCGACGGTTGTGATCTTCACTGTCACGTTCACTGGACTAACACGAGATCGTAAACGCGTTCGGAGTTCTGAGGTGATTATTTGTTTTTCTTTTTTTTTTTTTCAATTCAATTAACGTTTATTTTTTTATAATCTTACACAAAAAAATATATATTATAACGACAATTTATTTATCTGTACAAAAAGAATACAACTTCGCTTGTTCATCTATTCATCGGTCTACATTCGGACTAGCTATAGCAAGAATACATTATTTACATATACTCGTATTTCTGGCATCCGTTCAAATAGTGATGACCTTCGCGGCGGCGGCGGCGGCGGCAACTGTGGTGGACGAGGAATCCGCAAAGATCGTTTGAAATCGTGTTTGATGGTTGTTTTTAATTTAGGTGTATTTATGCATACATTTTTGTGTGTGATGTGTGTGCGTATAATATTATCATTATACGTAGATCCGAGAACGTTACTTTCTCGACGTTCGGATTAGGAGAGATAGGAATGCCATGAACCGAAAGGCGACGACCAGCAGCAGCAGCGACACAATGTCCATGGTGAGGTTCGACTGAAAACGGGGGGAAAAAAAATATGAATAATCGACTAACCGAAAAAAGTTTTTAATTTTATTTTCATCAAACGTGATGTAGGTTTACTTGGTTGCGGGTGGTAATTTTTCTGCGTTTCATACTCTCGGGGAGATAAACGGATAGATAATACGTAATATTACATTTGATATTATTATGGTACACGCGTGGAGTATAGAATTCCATACGATCTGCTAGGACTTCTACTAAATCCACTAAGAACTAGATTCCTAAAACGAGTAATACAGAATACAGTGATACAGAATTTTTAGTGCAACTGAATTATTCGAATATTACAGTACTGCGGTCAGATTTTTCTCAAATATTGAAATACTGTAATGTTGTTACGAAAGTAGGAATCTTCCTTCATCCGTTGTTTATGAATGCGTATGGATGTTGTGTAAAATATCGAAAGAGCAAAAAAAATTAAACGGTATACCGACGAATAGCGTGCACTTTTAATAAAAAAAAAAAACCACAAACGCACTCACGATTCCGGTTTACCCCTCCACAATTGCGACATAGCTCACAATGATGTTACGTAACGTTGTGCACTTATATTCAACGTGCGCTGGAAGAAATAATTACAACAAACACGATACTTATGCTCACTTGTTGTCTAGTTACAGACGAAAACGCGATATTCGCTTCCCGTTAATATCGGGCCACGTATAAACGGGCGCCACATTAGGGGGTTCGCAGGAAAAAAATCGTGCGGAAATCATTTCGTCATAAAGCGTTTCTATAGCTCAATTAAAAGGGAACAACGGTGCACAGAGAATTTCCTCTCTAATTCGTGTGGAGCTGTCGACGCATGCATATCGTACACGGATCCAGCGGTGGATCACAGGCGATCGTTCATCGAAGAAAATTAACTTACAGCTTTTTAGAACGTCAACGACGAAACCCGGCCACAGCTTAAAATTTACTTAAAACAAATTGAATAAAATCGATTGAATGTATTTTTATATAAGAATACTATTCGAAACCGTTGCAAAAACCGGATAACGTGTTATCCGGTTATTATATATCCGTGTTATGTGTGCTAGTTGAATTTAAACTCTCCCTTCCCCCGGTTCACTTGATCTGGATCCACTTCTGAACGGATCGACCGTAAATTTCGAAGTGATCCCCGAAACCGGTGGGTCGTCGTCAGGTTTGTTACATGCTCGATCTGTATACGTATTTGCATATAAATGTGCACGTGTTCGCGCGCGTTTACCTCTACAAAGCTGTTGGATTCCAAGACTGCGTGTCCGGAACGGGGGCAAGTCGTGTTCACTCTGTTGCACTCGATGTAGTCAATGTCCGACCACTGGTTTATTTGAAGTCCCTCGTTGGCGTACTTGAACCACGAAAATATGCTCAGCCATCGGAAGTAGGACGGTATCGACCTTGAGAACACGAATCGCGAGATCAGACACATATTGTATAGGTCTTTATTTTTTTGTTGTATGTTATGGTAACGGTCATCAATTATTTAAATTGGGCGTTTTGCACGTGTACCCTTGAGTACACGCCGCCGGTCTTTCGGCAACTAGGAACCTACCGGTTTTTCATCTCCATCAAACACGTAACTACACGGCTATGCGTCGCGTTCCCCGGACCAACTTTTACTTTTTTAAACTTTTAACGGTCGAAAATGTTAATGTTACCAGATATGGTTTTTAAAACTAAAAATAAAAAAAATATACTATTTCGAAAACCTTATCAATGTACGATGCGCACGATAATCTTATCGATTTTGTAATCTTAGACGCTAACGATCACTTTTATATTTACGCAATTCCCATACAACTCGTTATAAGCGCAGGTGCAACGTACGAAGATGCATCTAGGTTTATTTCTTCGAGAGAGTATCGAAAATATTTTTAGTGATCTCGCAGTAAGAGTGCTGAGTATCTAAATTTCGACTTTGGATTAAAAACATTTATACGTTTCGACGACCTACTTGCTGACATGGCTCAGATCGTTTATAACGAGGTGGTCCAACCCGCAGTTCTCGATGCCTTTTTTTTGCCCCTTCGCCACAGTTAAATTAATTATTTATTTTATTAATTAAAAATTAAAGTCACAATAATATTTTAACAAAATCGTGATATGATCGTATAAATTTTACATTTTATATTTATAGTTTATGGCGTTTATTTATATACGTACGGGAGTAAAGTCAAGGTGTACGTGACAGTTTTCGAAATATCGCACCATAATTTTACTGCGCAACACTCGTGTGTTGTGCTCTATTCATGTACTTTAACAAAACGCACAGTAAAATTACGGCGCGGTAAAAATGTCGCGTGATAAAATAACGCTAGTGTGTTGCCAGCCTAATAGTTAGTTTTCAATCTGACAACGTTGTTCACAATATTTTTTTTTTACCGAGCTTAATCGGGTCGTCAAAAAGGTCGGTCGATAACGAAAGTGCTCAATCGGGTATTACCGGCTTTTGGTTATGATATAATATG